TACATGAAATCAATAAGATAAATGTTTCATCTTGGGCATTTTTGCTTTCAATAAGTAAATTATAAAGAAATTTTAATGAAAATATGTATAAGATCTTTAAAATTGTTTATAAAAATAATATACTAAGTATGTATATTAATAAAATATATGTATATAATTCATCGGTTCGGTTTGGTTATTTCTTCGGGTTTTTTTGAATAAAACCATAACCAAACCAAATACTATCGGTTTTCAAAAATCTAAAACCAAACCAAACCAAACCCAAATAAAATCGGTTTTATTTTATCGGTTTGATTTGATTTTTCGGTTTAGATCGGATTTTATTCAAACCGTGAACACCCCTACCAAGTACTATCATTATAGAGCATTTATCTTTTGGGTTTTTTGTGAAAAGATTGCAACTAATTTAGAACATAACTTAAAATTTACTAGAAAGCAATAATGACTCAAAGGATCCCCAAGAACAAGGTTGTGAGCTCACTATCAATTTGAAAATAGTAAGCAAAGGTGGTCTCGACCATAAGGCCATTAAAGCAATCGTTTGGGATCCCATATATAAATTCTCTCTCTCTCTCTATATATATATATCATGTCTTGATAAATTTGAAAAGAATTTTTTGGGTAGAAAATATAATAGTAATTGATTACTTTATTTAATGTGGAGGTCATTGTAATAACTGGGAAATTTAATAGTGTTTAGTTAATTGTAGCATCCTTTCTTACGTGGATACCTATTTTGTTGACTTGTTTATATCTTGACGATTATCACGAACCCTCATTACTATTCTTACATTTATTTTTTTTATTCTCTCATTATTGAATATTCTAAAGTCTACCAAACGGTTAAACATTTTACATTATGCAAAATTTGTTGTGTGTTTATAAAAAGATCAAATTTTGTTTTTTTGGGGGTATTCTTGTAATTTCAAGTACTGCATCAAATCAATACTATTTTAATAACGTTATATCAACTTATCAAATTCAACACAAATATTTCAATATTATTATATAAACTTTTTTTAAAAATTGAGCTAAATATTCTAACTTTGTAATATATTTTTTCATTGAAAATTTTCATTGTTTACATTCTTATTTCTTAAGGTATGTGTACATCTTACCTTTTCAAGACTTCACTTATAGGATTACGTTGAATATAGTTATTCAATTTGCATATGACGACTAAATAATTAAGGCATATCTATGAAGTTGTGTTTTAGGCCCCCAAACTTGTTAGACAGCCCTGTCAGTAAATACTCCTTGTTCACATATCTTCGTGTACGTGAGATCTCCTTTGTTACCTAACATACCATAAAGAAAAATAATGATATTTTTAGATAATGATATTCAGTGAGTGTCTTAGGGCAAGGATTAGCACAATAAAAGCAATGATAATGTAACACCTTGAAATTGGAACTTGAAAATGTAAAAGAGAAAAGACTTTATTTGAGTATAACAAACCGTGGTGAAGGGTAAACATTGAAAGCCCCTTTACGAAGAGGTTCACAGGTTGTGAAGGGGTCCACCACCCGTCACCTCGCCCGTGAAGTTGTTCCCAACACCCATGAAGGTTCACGGACACTTGGACGGTCCGTGAAGTTATCTATGAAAGGGATCCATCAGTTTTTAAGTTTTTTCTCAACTTCAAACAATTATATCTCTCAGCACAAAATAAATTAGATGGCTCATAACCTATCAAATTAAATGTCTTTGAGTCCTCTTTCCAACACCACCAAGTTTGCCTCATTTCAAGTTCGGAGTAAGAAGTTATGCATGTTTTAGTGAAGCACTATCGGGCATGTGAAATTTGACGATCGGCTCGACGGCTCGTGAAGAGTTTCATGGACTGTGAAGCTTCATATGGTCCGTGAAACCTCCCGTTTAAGGCATATTTTCAATTTTAAAGGTTAGGGTCATTTTGGTCTTTCCCCTATGCGTTTGGTACTCAAACTATGTCGTTTTAACCCATATGTTAAGCCTAAACCACGGTGTTTTACACCTAATTAAGGTCTTAGAAAATTTTAATCAGTTCTTTTACGTTCATTAACACTTAAAGACATAAGAGCAAGTTTCCAAGAGGAGAAAAGGTAGGGTTCAAGCGTTCTTCAAGTTATTTGATTTCACCAAAGAACTTCGTTCTTCCAGATATGTAAGGCAATCATAGTGTTTGTAATGACCTGTTCCCGTTGTTATGGAAAAGCCAATGGGGAAAAAATTTGGGTCGAAAAACTTTTTGGTAGTAACTTGAGATTTCCTAGCTTAATCCAGATTTGGATGAAATCGGAGTCTGTGAGGTCTAGGGAAATCTGGTAACAAATGAGATATTTAATATTGATTGTGATTATATAAGTGGTTAGCTAAGAAGTTAAAGAACCCGTACGACTTTACGGAATCAAATTTGAGCGAGTAGAACTCCCGAAACTGATCTTAGTGTGAACGGGTAGTTTCTGAGTGTCATGGGTTAAAGGTGTGTTGTGAAATAGGGGTTTGAAACTCTAATTTCGAGGTTCTATCTTCGTGCAAGCCGCTAGAGCGGGATTAGTGCCGCTAGAGCGGGGCCGCTGTAGTGGCATGGGTCCCGTTGTAGCGAGACAGTCGCGACTTAAGTCGAAATTAAACCCCAAAAATGTTATTTTTCTGCAACATTCGTTCTTGAGAGCAAAGAAACGACCCCAGGCGATTTCTTGACAGTTTTCCACGAAATTTGGTGCTAAAGGTAAGGATTTTACTCCCCTAATCCATTTTTCGATCCGTAGAACTTAGATTCTTGGTTATTTATTATTAGGGGACGGTTTTTGGATTGAATTGGATGGTGGGAAAAAGCCTTAGCTGCACCTTAGGATCATGGATTTGGTCAAGGGTTATTGGGTTTGTTATAATCCGGATAATTAGACCTTTGATTGTTGATCCTTACGTATAAATTGTTGTTTGTAGACCTAGAACAAGCGAAAAGAATCCAGAAAGGGAAGATTCAATTGCCTTAGGGGATTCAAGCTTGGATTCGAGGTAGGTGATGGTTTGATGTCTTGTTTGCGTAATGTATGTTGGTAATTGCTTCATTGCAATGCATGTATGTGAATGAAACATTGTTGATCAAACCTAATGAGATAATCGTGAATGAATAAATGTGCCATGATGTAATACTTGATTGTATGATTATGAAAATGTACATATGAGTGTGATTGTGATTATGGTTGTGTTGAATGGATCGGGTGTCACGTACTGACACACTAACTTGGATTGGATGCCACGTTTCGAGCCATTTATTGGATCGGGTGTCACGTCTGACACACTAACTTGGATTGGGTGCTACGTTCCGACGCATATATAGGATCGGGTGTCACGTCCGGAACACTAATTGGGATCGGGTACCACGTTCCGGTACACTAACAGTTTGGTATGGGTTCCATGAGAGGACCATTGGATTGGGTTCCGTGAGAGGACCATTGAATTGTCATATTTACTTGTTACTGAGAATATGGATTGTGCATGGCTCTTGAAATGATAGTTGTGTTTATATTCAGTGCATGTCATGTTTATCTTGTTGTGATTCTGATATATGTTGTGCTAATTGGGATAGCCGCGTGATTCTACCAGTACACTATGGTTGTGTACTGATACTGCACTTGCTTGTTCTTTGTTGAGTATAGGGCATCTTCAGGCGGCTATTGATAGACCTCAGCTAGGAGA